ACTGTATTCAAAGATAAATTCAACATGAAAGCTACATCATTTTCAAATTCACTTCATATTTAGTAATGATTATCAGTGAAGTCCAGTATTCAAAGATATTGAAAATTATTAGGATTTATAAATAGTAATAGAAACACTCATTTAGAAAGATGTTATGTAGCATATCCTAATAATTTAATGCATATTTCTTCAATGTCAGAAGTAATGAATATATGGTTGGAGGTAGTCAACAGGAAACCTCCAACCATCATCTTATGTCAATATAGTATATGTAATATCGAGTCACCTAGACTAGTGGTCACATTCCGACTTGATCGATATTATTCCATCTGTACTAAGAAGGATCTGACATATATATGATATTGATCACTACTTAGTGATCAATCATTTGTTGTTGTGAACACTTTACATTTTCTGAATTTAATATATGTTGACACCGATTTATGCTTATTATCAATCTATACAATCTGACATTATACATAACATTAACTTATATCAGTCAGTTATATTTATACAATAATAGATTAGAAAACAGTTCTATTTTGATATAAAATTTTAATTGTAAATGTTCAGAGATAGTTGGTAGAATATCTTAAACATGAATTTGGTGGAGTTTTATTCTCTGAGATACATGTTTTAGTTATTGAGCTTTCATCATTCTTCTGAACGATAAACAACATTCTTATCAGTATAGGGTTGTGGAGATTATTTAAGTCTTTGATTGAAATCATGAACCGATTAATGTTAGACCACCTTTGGAAATCTGGAGGCACTAAACCACCGTTTCATTCTATTTTGGGACTCCTCAGCAGTGGGTACCCATAATTCCGCTTGCTGGATTCGAACACAGGGCCTTCAGTCTCGCGCACGAACACCTAACCTACTGGACCACCGAGCCGGCATCTAATGGTGTTAGTGTATAACACCAACCAATCCACGAAATCGCGCCACCATTTTTCATTGTACTGAGCTAGATACCTGTCTCTACTCGACACGGACTAGTTCTACTAGTCACAGCTTCTCACTAGAACTCTGAGAATTCCTTCACGACGTTAGTCATTAGTGAGCACATGTTAATTATCAGTATATGGTTGTGGACACTAACACCATTGGATGCCGAGTCAGTGGCCCAGTGGGTTTGCGCGCGAGACTGAAGGCCTTGGATTTGAATCCCGCGAGTGGGATAGTGGATGCGCACTGCTGAAAAGTCCCAAAATAAGATGAAACGGCCGTCAAGTGCTTCCAGGTTTCCAACGGTGGTCTAACATTAATCGGTTCATGATCTCAATCAAAAACAAGATTATTGTTATATCCTGTGTGTTTATGAATCTTTCAATGTATTACATGATGATAACACCAATTAGAGAACGGTGTTTTATCGATCGGACTAATGAAGCATAAAGCAAGTATGAACAGTCTAGAGTCGTTAACGATCTTGTTTCCCTCCTAATCCTGTTTGTTAAGTTCAGAACACAAATCTCAGTCTCCTCGTTAAGAATCATGTATTTCAAACATACAGGGTTTACATACAAATCAAGCAGACCACATCCTACCATAAAATAGAAAACAACATTTGTATAAGATTTAGCCGGATGTGGCCGTTAATGGGGGGCAGGTGGTAGTAATTAATAGACAGGGTATAATTCAAGAATGGTAGATCGTATAATAATAGTTCATAAGTCAAAATAAACCTCGCAATAAGAGGGACATGAATATGAATAGTTTAGTTACTTAACAATTATACGATGAAAATATACGTTCAGTATTGATCTATAAATGGATCCCAAAAGTTACCATTTATTATTCTTATCCGAATATAACATGAACTCATAGTATCTAAGTCTATAGTTTGAAATATAACCTATAAACTATATCTCATATATAAGACGTAAATAGTAAGATTCTTCTATTAAAATAAATGATTCATTATAAAAGAAAATTATACCTTATTTAATATGGTAATTAGATTTATTTGAATTACTCTATTATCAAGATACATCAATGTTTATTATCATTAAAAGATAATAGTTGATCTACATTCGATTATGAAATGAGATTAAAATTGATTAAGAATAAAATGATCAAATTATTAGACTGGAAACTTTATTGTTTGTTGATTAAGCTTAGTGTGTGTGTGTGTGTGTGTCTGTGGTTTTTTTTCCTAATTATTATGCATATTATGATGATGAATATGTATTCTGACTGTTTATTCTCTAATCATGTCTAGAAATTTCAATGATTAAGATCATGAGTCAGTTGAAGTTAGACCATCATGAAAAACTTGGAAGCCCTGGACGGCCACCTCGTCCTATGATGGGACTCCTCAGCAATGTACATCCACGACCTCGCCCCCTGTGAGATTCGAACCTAGAACCACTAGACCACTGAGCCAACTGGCATTCAACGGTTTAGAAATATTTGAAGCAGTAATCTTTTATGCAAAAACAAAATCTAAATGATTTATATAAAGAATGATTGAACAACTAAGTGATGTATGAATGATATGACTTAAAATTGTTTACAATAGTTCAGGGATGTGTTTGTAGTGGTTGTGCTTTGTTAATCAATCACCTTTGTAACTGTTATCATATAATCATCAACAGTGTTTGAAATCAGAAGGTAAAGAGAAACAAAGAGTACAGTTTTATTAGCAGATAACTCGAACCACAAAACAGAGAAGCGAATGAGTGTGTATGTAGGGAAATGAATGGATTATGGAATCAATTAAGCAGTTAGTAATAAAACTAGCAGTATGAATATATATGCGTAGGTAGTAAACAATGTTCAAGTATACATATTTCATACAAGCACAACAATAATAAAGGTACAAGAAGTTGTTATAGTACAGATGACTTTGTCCGCTAAATAAGTTAACAAAAGGGCTTAACTGAATAAAATGAGAACAAACTCAATTGCACGTGAGTTGCTATATGTTCTCCGAAATTCTAATCTTCTGAATTCTTCATGTCCTCTTTTCTTTTTCCTCTTTCCAAAGTTATTTCTTCTGATTTTAATCTTTGAATCACATATTCAAATCGTAATCTTTCCGATTACTGGTTATACTCTTACTACTTCAACCACTATGAGATTTGATTCGACAACTGCATCTCTGTGCTAATATGTGTTATGGTAACTTGAACTGATGTACGTACATACGAAGTTCTACGTTGTTACTGACTGAGTGACTGAATGATGAATGAATGAATGAAATGAGACAAAAATTCATGGATTCTTTCTAAACTATCATTTCTGAAGTTAGTAGACTTAAAGTAAGCTATACATATCGATTTATTAATGTTTTTGTAGCTTTGTTTATTTATGATATGAATAACATGTGAGTCATATTAGAAGAAACTAGTTAAAAATGTAAAGAAAAGATAAGTCGGTTTGTGAGATCATAAAACTTTATCAACTGAGGTTATTAGGTAGCGTTTTGTCAGTATCTACCTAATGACTAGCATAAAGCATTAAGTTATCTGACATAGTAGGAAGGTTGATAACAGCACGGAATAGGAAGAATGAGATATAATATGATATGACTAACAACTACTGGTCTAAGTCATGTTGATAGGTAGAGTTTTATTGTCAGAATTCACATAACAGTGTTAATAACCAGTTGAAAAAGATACATTGGATATAGGTTAGAATACTTCACAGTAAAGAAGTTACATTTATACACTATCTACTTCTGAAGTTTGGATAAAATATGATTCCTAACATTTTGCATGTGCGGATAAGAGAACATTATGGAATCGTTTTCGATGCTATAGTGTACTGGAGAAGATCGTCACCGTCATAAGGAATTCATATGACGAGCTGCACTGCATAGTCGTGCATAGAGGACAGCTGTCAAACGCATTCCAAGCGAGGATCGGAGTCAGAGAAGACTGCCTACTCTCACTCTCTTTTATTTCTTCTGGTGGTCGACTGGATTATGAAGACTTCCACATTTTAGGAGAAGCATGGAATACAATAGACAGCATGCATGCAACTTGACGATTTGGACTTCACAGATGACCGTGCTCTTCCATACATATGAAACTCGAACCAACTGTCTACAAGCCAACACCAATGTCAGAATGTTCGAGAACTACTATAACCATCATCAAAAATGTATAAGTATTTATAAACAATTGTCTACGTAAGATACTCAATGTTCGTTGGTCAGATACCACCATCGATAGCCTGCTATAGGAGAGACAAAGCCAACTTTCAGCTGAGGAAGATGTTAGGAAATAGAAGCTAGAAGTGGATAGGATATACATTAAGTAAATCATCAAACTGGATCATGAGACAAGCATTAACTTGGAATCTCGAATGTAAACGGTAAAGAGAAAGATCAATGAACACATTGTGTGGATAATTGGAAGCGGACATGTAAATGATGAATAGCAACTGGAAATAACTTGAAAGGATTGTCCAGGACAGAATTGGATGTAGAATGTTGGTGGTTGGTCTATGCTCCTTCATGAGGGTTAACGTGAGTGAGTGAGTAAGTAAGTAAACGTTTTATGTTCCAATTTTCTTTACTGTTTACGAACTGTATTTATCATGCATAGATTTTTATAATAATTGAAATTAACTCTACCACTTTACTTAACATTTTGTTCATTTTCTCAATGAATGTTTGTGTAAATAAAACGATGTTTATACGATAATAATATGCCCTTTAAAGTTTAATATTAATTTTAATAGTTGAGATCATGAGTCAATTGAAACTCAAACACCATGGAAAACATGGAAGCAGTGGTTGACCGTTTTGTCCTATTATGGGACTCCTCAGCACTTGTATCCATGATTCCGTCTGGCAAGATTCCAACCGAGGATCTATCAGACTCGTGAGCCAAGCGTTTAACTACTAGACCACTGAGCCGGCCGTCATCCAACGGTGTTATTATTAAAGTTTTCCACGATGGTCTACCTTCAATTGACTCATGATCTCAACTATTGAAATTACTATAATATCCACAAAACCCTCTTCAATGAAATTCATTACTTACCTCCAATTAGCATAGTTATTACAGCAAATATTTTCTCATTTACTGTATTCGGTGATACATTACCAAATCCAACACTAGTTAAACTAGTTGTTGTAAAATATAAACTAGATACATATAATGCACGTCTAGTTAATCCATTTGTTTTATTCATTGTTGAATATGAACGATTCAATTGCATTCGTTCACCTAATTCATATAACCAACCTATTTCATATAAAACAGACAACAACAACAACAACAACAACAAAAAACAGTTATAGAAACACAATTGTAAAATAGATCATTTATAAAGATAGAAATAAATTTATGATTTAAATATAATCATTTATTCGATCGGACATGTTGAGAAGGAAAACATGGAGGAAGGAGGTGGTGGACAACCCAGATACTTGATAAATTACAAAAACACCATACTCTATTACTTTATTTACATAATGTTCATCAATTGTTTCAGACTTCATTGTTCTTGTATTTCCACATCAATTACTTTCTATTCCTGTTCTTACTTTCTTGATAGTTTGAATCTTCTGCTGTCAAACATTCTAATCCTGATACGCGTTATTTACTACTTATGTCAATATAAGTAGCACACACATTACACGATATACTTTATTATTTGAATATTTAATTACTACAAAGTATGCATATTTCCAATACAAACATCAGTATATAAACATATATAAGATTACTGTTTTCTCTTAGAATTCCATTTTTTGTTATTTACTGAAAACAAGATTTTTTCAAAGATATAAAGATAAGAGTCACTAGATGATAAACATGATAACGGTTAGATGAGAACTATATCGATTCTAGACATCTTTTCATATTTTGGTTGCGCAATGTAAAAAAACAAAGGCAAGTTCACGTTTTGTTCACTTGTTTATTTCATGTTCATTATATTATTGTTAAGCATAAATTAATTTATATTCATATCATCGCTTCAAATAAGCAAAGATGGATAGTGGCTAGAAGTGGTATCCAGGAAGCGCGTTTCGTCCTATTTGGGACTCGTCAGATGGATGTACCTGCATTTTAGAGTTGATGTCCACTGGATTACACTGTTAGCCACTATCCATCTTTGCTTATAAAAGCTTATGAATTAAGTCAATATCGAGGCATACGCACAGTATGCCAATATGTCAAAAACAGACTGATCAATTGCAGTCTTAAAAACTCAGAGGGATGATACAAGCCAAACAATACCAAGTGAATTTAAATTCACCCCATTGTACAAGCAAGTAGCTATCAGGAATCAGTAGATCAGTGGATAATGTGATGGCATTTGAAGCGGACGGTACTGGGTTCGAGTTCAAGTGTGAACATCAACTCTGAGGTGCAGGTAAATCCAGCTGACGAGTCTCAAATAGGACGAAACGCACATTCTGGACTCAACTTTTAGCCACTATCCATCTTTGCTTATAATGCTTGTGAATTAAGTCAATATCGAGGCAATGCGCACAGGATGTACATATGCGAACAAGTGACTGATCAATTGCAGTATTAAAAACTCAATGGGAAGATACTAGCAAAACAATATCAAGTGAATTATTTTGAATAATTGAAACCATGAGTTAATTAAAGCTAGACCACCATGGAAAACCAGAAATTCACTGGGTGGCCATTTTGTCCTATTGTGGGACTTCTCAGCAATGCGCATCCACTTCTTCTGATCATAACATTATATTGATTTCAATAACTCAGAAATATATAACATACACATAAACTACAAATAAAAGTCGGTTCCACACCATCAATTTTGTATCGATGTATTACATGTATTATTTAGTAAATTCAGTTTCAAAACTTTATGAACAAAGTAAAAAAATATGGATACGATTTATCTGTTCTATTCCATATTCTTTTCAAAGATTATTGTTTATACTCTTGTGAACAGAACACGAATAGGGACAATCAGATGTATTGGACACAAACATAAAGAGCATCTCAATGTAATCTGAGAACCATATTGTAAATAGTTAATTTGCAATATATCAAACTATCGTGTCAAATTTGATTGTTCCTTCGTAAACCTTAATCAATTGTTTCAGATTTCATTGTTTAGGCACTTTCATAGTAATTGCATTCCGTCTCCACTCTTTCCTTATAAATCTTCTGCTGAAATACATTCTTTGCCTGAACCACCTTTATATACTACTTATAGGCATATCAGTAACTCATACCACTATAATTTATGGACTATGATTGAGTGACACTAAAGTGACCTTGATAGGGTCCACCTAATAACTAGGACCAAATGAGGATTATAAACCAGTGTAAGGAATTAGGACTATGAATTACATTTGATCATTAAGATTAGGAATTAGACATAGAATTTTCATCATCAACTGACATCAACTATAATAGCAAAACTCTATTTAACTAAGTAGTTTAATGGATTTCTCGCCATTACCCAGGATCTGTTATTTCAAATCTCATTGACTCATCCATAAATTATAGTCTCATTGCTGGATTTAATCAATAAACCATAGAAACATTGCATAGATACATTCAAACTAAAATGACTTATCAATAAAATAAAATAATAATCTATGTAAACGAAAAAAGTCATCCATTTGATATTGTTTTATTTGAATCTTTCCATTGATGTTTAGGACTGAAATTGATCATTCTCTTATTGGAATATGTGCATACTGTGCGTATTGCCTCGATATTGCCATAATTTACAAGCATTATAAGCAAAGGTGGATAGTGGGTAGCAGTGGAATGCAGGACGCGCGTTTTGTCCTATATGAGACTCGTCAATTGGATGTACTTGCATTTCAGAGTTGATATTCACTCTGAGACTAGAACCAAGTACCGTTCGCTTCAAACGCTATCACGTTATCCACTTAGCTACTGAGTCCTGATAGCCACCTGGTTGTGCAATGGTGTGAATTTTAAATCTACTTGGTATTGTTTATTTAAATCTTCCTATTGATGTTTAGTAGTGAAATTATTCAGTCTCTTATGACTATGTGTGTTTATTGTGAACATCAACTCTGAGATGAAGATACATCCGGTTGAAGAGTTTCAAATAGGACGAAATGCGCATTCTGTATTCCACAACTAGCCACTATCCATCTTTGCTTACAGAAAAAGTTATTGTTTAGTTTTAATCATTTCTTTTTTGAGTTTGACAAATACTTGCTTATCATCTAATAATTATCTTTAAAGTTCATTTGCTTTCATGATAATTTCATTGTGAATAGATTGTATAATATCTAGATTGTTGAAGCGCAAGATATAAAACGTAGTTAGAAGTTATACAGAATTCTTTTTTTTTCTTCTTTTTTTTCTTCTTTTTTCCTTTTTTCTTTTCTTCTTTTTTTCATCAATCAATAAACATTTTATGGCAGATAATTTTCTTCTTTTTTTTTTTAAAAAAAAAGAATGTTCTATCGCTCTTTCATAAGTATAGTTATAAAATGTCTATTATCTGTTTTGGTTCATTGAACATTGTAATTCAAATAAAATTGATTTCATAAGATGTTATATCATCGGTTAATTTATTTTTGTATTGTTTATTACAATCTATCTATAAATTTCAATAGTTGAAATCATGAATCAATTGAAGCTAGACCACCATGGAAAACCTGGAAGCACTGGTTAAGCGCCTGGCGTGAGACTGATAGGTCCTGGGTTCGAATCCCGCGGGGTGCGGGATCGTGGATGCGCACTGCTGAGGAGTCCCATACTAGGACGAAACAGCCGTCCAGTGCTTCCAGGTTTTCCATGGTGGTCTAGCTTCAATTGATTCATGATTTCAACTATTGAAATTACCAATTCTCCACAAAACCCATTCTAGTACTATCTATAAATGTTTAGGACAATATGTATATCCTATGCAGATTGTCTTGATATATAGATTGAAGTGAGAATAATACATAAGATGAACTTTCTTACAATCATTTATAACGTGTAATCATAATTTGAGAATGGGTAACTATGCAACTTGATCACTTTGTCATATTTGTTAATTATAAATGATTAATAATATTACATAATAAATATGTATTCATATGGTATGTTATTGATGAATCAAGTTTAAGTACTATTCAGTTCAGAGGTAGATTTCAATGATCAGTCAAAGCTAGACCAGCATGGAAAACCTGGAAGAAATGGACGGTCAGTTCTTCCTATTGTGGGACTCCTCAGAAGTGCGCATCCATAATGTTGGACCCGCGAGATTTAAACCCAAGGCCTATCCAACTTCAACTGACTCATAATCTCAGCCAATGAAATTACTATTATATCCACAAAACTCCTTCTGATAATAATCAGTGATTTATGGTGGTTAGCAGTGTAATCCAGAACGTGTGTTTCGTTTTACATCCTGGAGTCGATGTTCACTCTAAAACTTGAACCCAGTACTATTTGCTTCAAATGCCACGGAGTTATCTACTGAGCTATTGAGTCAAGCAAATATCGAGGTAATCCGTACAGGATACACAAATACCAATACGAAACTGATCAGTTGCATTCTTAGACATCAATAGGAAGATTCAAACAAATAATACAAAAATGAAATACTACTCAGCTCAGTTTATCCAAATGTAACTGTCAGTGTGACAGAAAATAAATCATATAAAAAGTAGAGTATTCGTATATCACTTTAATTTTTTTTGGGGAGGGGTCAAGTAAATCCATATCTCCAGTTTTTGAGTTCTCACTACCCTGCTATGTTCATACAGACTGACCTCGTTATTGTCATTAAGCCTTTATTACAAACTGAATAAGGATGTGATCATGTTAACGGGACTAAATGTTACAGTAAGATTTAACATATGTTCATTCATCGTTATTTGATAGGTGATCGACAGAGTTTGATTGAGAATCAATTCTAGACAAAAATCAAAGTCGTTACTACCTAATTACCAACCAAGATGAATATATCAGTCTTGAAGAAGTTCAGTTGCGACCTAGATAGTCAAGTGATAATATTTATGGCTATGTTTATGGCTGACACGAGATGGAATCTAATCGAAAGCTTCAATTTTTTCAAGACTGAAAGTACATTTTGTTGACAAGTGACAACAGATAAAAGACCTTCGTCCAGAGATACCTGCCATTTGCCTCTAATGACATAAACTATTTATTTAAGACAAACTATTGAATCAACTAACCACGACATATTGTCACAACACATTTAACAATCACTAAATATCTGAATGTTTTTTGGATAAACTCAATGGGATTCAAAACGATATCATAATGACCTATGAAGCAGAAAATAATGGCCAATTGTCCTTCTTAGACATACTTTTAAGTCGAAGGGAGGATGGTACTATAAACCGGTCAGTGTATGGGAAACCGACTTGGACGAGACAATACTTAAATTTTCATAGTTTCTGTCCATCGCAATACAAGTAAGGCTTGATCAAGTGTCTCTTTAAGAGAACTCAAAGAATTCGCACTACTAACATGGTTTAAAAAAGATGAAAAACATTACTGACAGACACAATAATAGCAAATGGTTATCCACCAAAGTTTATTAATAGGTGCAAAAGTCAGTTAATGCTAGCACCGTTTGTTTATTTAGTTTCAAAGAGAAGACATTGAATAGTTAATTACTCCTACTAAAATATTTATATCATTTCATTTTCATTAATATAACTTTTGTAATATCTTTTTCATGCCAAATATATAACTAATCCACAAGTAATTTATTTTCACATCAAGTAATCTATTAGTACACTCATGAAAGCCAAAGTATTCCAGAGAAATACAAATTTCAATAATTGAGATCATGATTCAATTGAAGTTAGATCACCATGGAAAACCTGGAAACACTGGACAGTCGTTTCATCCTATTGTGGGACTTCTCATCAGTGCACATATATGATCCCATCTCTCAGGATTCGAACCTAACACCTACTAGTCTCGTATGCGAGAGCTTAACCACTAGACCACTGAGCCAGCTGGCCAACCGGCATCCAACAGTGTTAATACCTAACTTCAACTAATCCATGAAATTGAGTGACACATTCACCATTATCATCAGTGAATTCCTAACTCACAAGTTTATATCAGTATTCTATGTCAACTTGATTTTATTTAAACTATCTTATCTATCATGATTATCAAACATACAAATACGAACATAGTGTGTGCGTGAGTGTGAGTGTGTGTGCGTGTGTGCGTGAATAGATAAAAGAATTGTACAAACAGTTTTCCTACAAGTGTTATTTTTTGTCTTTTTTTTTACAAAAAGGTAATTTTGTCTTAGAGACACATAATGAACCATGTTTTACCCTTAGAAACTAATAAATCCCTATAGGAATTAAAAATAAAAGACAAGTAGTTAATCATTGATTGTTTGTTTGTTTGTTTGTTTTTGTAAATTTAAAAGTGAACTTCTTTTTTTTTCACCAAAACTGAATCGTTTTATATTGATTGTTTCTATCGAAAATTTATTCCAAGACAGTAAATTAAAAGAAGACAAAAAAAAAAAAAGAACATAAAATTTGAATAATTGAATTCTAACTATATTTATTATTATTTCTTTGAATGGAATGAAAGTGTGAAAGTATAATTTTACTATAGACATGATTATTAGTCAGCTCTCTTTTTTGAAATATTCTCATATGGTCATGTGTATATAGTTACTGACAGGAATGTTCTACTCAGTGCTTTCTCACTACATGGATGTTCTTTACAAAATTCAAAAGATGAAAAGCGAATGTTTGGCGCTTTAACCGAGTTGGTGAACATAGACAGTTTACCTAGGGGTGTTGGAAAAGCCTGATTATAAACCAATGGTGTATATGAACTGAAATATCCTGAAGGAACAAATGGCATATGTATCAATCGTTGGTGATCGGCTACTATGGGACTAGATCTCTTGACATTGCTCCACTATCTTGTGGATTAGACTTTTAAGTCAAACGCTGGAGTTATGACATCCCTCTAAGAAAACCACCTGCTTCGATTTGGGCAACCGGTCAATATCCCAGCCCTCACATATATCGAATGATTTATGTGGCGCATATCAATTTCAGTCAGTCAGTCAGTAACAACGTGGAACTTCGTACGTACGTGCATCAATTCGAGTTGCTATACCATATTAGCTCAGAAATTCAGTTATCGATTCGAATCCCGTAGTGGTAGAGGTAGTGAAAGTATAAGTAGTGATAGGGGACATTAGGGTTTGATGATGTTATTAAAGGACTATAGTCCAGTGGAATAGATTCGGAAAGAAAATAAAGGACATGAAGAATTCAGAAGATAAGAGATTGAGAGAACACAGAGAGTGGATGCACCTGCGCCATTGCAAACGATTTTGAGCCATGTCATCGAAGGTCTCTAACCTTCGGTTGCTATCATCTCGCGGTTCCCAACCAAGTAGTCTACACCTACCAACACGGCTCAGTCCACTTGTCAGTGACTTCATGGATTTGTGCCATGTTTTGGTCTGGCCGCCCCTAGCTTTCTTCCAACATACTCCTACACCATAAAACATCGCGCGTCGGGGCAGTCGGTGGTCGGGTATATGTAACACATGTCTCAGTTATCTCAATTGATGAAGATTCACTACTTCATCAATTGATTTGCCATCCTTACCTAGTAATCGTTTCCTAACAACTGTATTACTTACTCGGTGGTCCCAGGATATACGAGCAATGTTTCGAAGATACCTATGATCAAATACTAGTAACCTACGAATATCCTCTACTCTTACTGGCCATGTTTCACTGCTATAAAGTAGTACGGAACAAACTGCTGTGCAGTAAAACGTCGTTTGGTTGATAAACGGATATCTCGCCTACGCCACAAATGACGCACGTTGGCAAAAGCTAGTCAAGCCTCCTGTATCCGTGCTGAGATTTCGTCACACACCAAACCACAAGGGCTGATGAGACTTTCAAGATAAGTGGCATATCAATTTGGTGCTTCCTTGTACCAATGTTTATGTGTTTAAATAAATAAATAAATTTGTTTTATTTACATAAATAAATATACGTAATAATTAACTTACTGTATTCCCTTGTAATTTTCGATTTAAATTCCTCTTTGCCAATACAATACCATCCACAAGCAAACCAATGAGCCACAAGAAAAAACATACACATTAATAAACCCAATATTACTGTACTATATTGAGAATATCGTTCAATTTTTTGAAATAATCTTGCCAATCGAAGTAAACGTGCCAATTTTAATAAATGAATCCAATTACCCTAATGAAAGGAAAAGTTAAATTAATTATTACATTTTATAAGTAAACATGATCTAAATTATCAGGTTATAACTAAATTTGACTGATCAATCTCTGGTAAGTAAATAACAACATTGTACAAACTAAAAAAATGGTAATTACATCATTTCACAATCCTAAAGATAACAATCACTGATATTTAGTAGAGATATCCTTCTGGAGCCCTCCTGGTGTTACTGCTGGTCCCAAGCCCGGATAAAGGAAGATGGTTGGGCATGGGGTTAGCGACACCATCCCGTAAAAAATTACCTCGCTAAAAATCTGCTAACTAGGAAAAAGATTTCAACCTGTTAGTTAAAACGTCTTCATTTAGAAGAGTTTTGACACCTCATGGTGAATGCGGAGTTCTTTCGGAAGTCATGAGTCTAATGCCCCTTCTGACAACCAGAGCAACCATTAATTTAGGTACATGGAATGGTTTTGCAACATGAGAGACCGGTAGAGTCTTCCAAATTGCTCTCTCTGTCTTGTGAGTCATACATCTGCTTATCCAGTACATAAACAGAATGATGGGATTTGGAAATGCCGGACTTCTATAGAGTTTTATAGTTAGATATAAGTATTATTTTATCATATTTTGATTTTTTTTCTGTTACAGTGTACCTTAGGTGAACTATTTTCTAAAGTATTTTTTGGATATTTCGCTTATGATTTCCTACTGTATCCAGATATCTAGGAATGAATAAAATTGATGATTATCATTACATTGGCTGATTATTGAGTGATGTAGTGTTTATTTATTTCTTATAGTTGATAGAATTCTATCTATTAAGTTACAATGTGACCATTAGTTAAAGTAACAAAATATTGTGTTCATTGTGTTGAGATATTAGGTGGTTAGAGGTAGTTAAGAAGAAACATAACACCTGGATATCATGCTAGTTAATACTCATCAATATGACATACCTGTAATCCTGAAGAAAATGATGCTTTATGTAAGGGTTCAAACCAGTGTCATCTAGCTTTATAATTAAGGAATAACACTGTTAATGCCATTTTATATATTTTATAAAGTGTTATATCGCGATGAGAATAATGAATGGTAACTTTTGGGATCCATTTATGGATCAATACTGAACGTATATTTTCATCGTATAATTGTTAAGTAACTAAACTATTCATATTCATGTCCATCTTATTATGAGCTTTATTTTGACTTATGAACTATTATTATATGATCTACCATTCTTGAGTTATACCCAGTCTATCAAATACTATCTCTCACATTGACAGCCACATTTGACTAATACTTGTATAAATGTTCTCTCCTATTTTATGGTACGATGTGGTCTATTTGATTTGTAAATAAACCCTGTGTGTTTAAAATATATGATTCATATCGAGGAGGCTGCGACTGGTGTTTTGGACTTAATAGGAAGGACTAGGCGGAAAGCAGGACCAATAATGACTCTAGACTGCTCATACGGGATTACGCATCATTGATCCGATCGACAATTCACTGCTCTCTATTTGACGGTATCATCACATTATACACCGGGTACAACTTATAACATAAACACATTATATTTTGAGAAAAACTATTACGATTACGTAATTTACTAGTTAAATACAGGTTTATTTACTATTCGTTGAGATACACACTCGTATGTACATTCTATAGATTATACTAAGTCATCTAGACGGAAGTATATTGATCGGAAAAGTAAGAGTAGCTAATCTACATCTGGAACATCTGGAACTCAAAACAATTAGCAACCGACACCAAAGTCAGAATTCTAAATATAAATGTTAACACAGTTCTACTGTATGTGGCGGAAACTTGGAGAACCACGAAAGCCATCATCCAGAAGATACAAGTGTTTATTAACAGCTGCCTAAGCAAAATACTTAGGATACGTTGGCTAGACACTATCAGCTACCACCTACGATTGGAGAGAACAAACCAGATCCCAGTGAGGGAAGAAATCAGGAAGAAGTGCTGGAAGTGGATAGGACACACACTGAGGAAAGCACCGAACTGCGTCACAATTCAAGCCCTCACATAGAAGAAGAGGAAGACCAGAGAACACAAACATGAGAAGAATGAACAAAAATGAGATAGAACTAGAAATGATAACCCAGGACAGAGTGGGTTATTGAATGCTGGTCGGTTGCCTATGCTCATTTGAGGGTTAACAAGCGTAAGTATGTAAGTAAGTAAGAACCATGATACATAACGAATTGGAAAGTATAATCACTTCCATCCATTTAATTATAATCCTAAATTATATTAGGTTTCATAGTGAATGAATACATGATCTTCACCTGAAATCATCATATTTATTATTATTTATTGAGATGCTGTTTAATTGATAGTAGAGATGTAATTTAAGTCCATAATCACAATGAAATAGAACAAGTCACTACTTTAACTCAGGAGCTGGAAATTATCAACAACTCACTGACCGAGATTGGCTACCCCAGTGCGTTCATTAAGAAGTACATATATAACATAAAAAAGAATTCGAAGATTTCGACTGTTCGAAAGAAGCCTTTATACATGAAACTACAATTCAGCGGGAATGTGGCTAGTGATACCCTGAACGATAGGTTAACGAAAATAATTAGCAGGACATTCTACACAGCCTATCTTGCGTTGACCTTCTCAAGTCGACCAGCGATGTCTACTCAAACGAAGGATAAGTTACCTGAATTGGCCTCCTTAATGTGCATTTACAAAATCTTCTGCTTCTTTGGAGATAGCTATATCGTGCATACTACCAGGCAACTTAACCAACGAATGAGTGAATATCTACCAGCTTGGTTTATAAAGGGACAGATAAAAAACAATGCACAGTTCTATCTTGGCATATGTTATTGATAGTGGTCATACTGCAGATAAATCGAAATCATTTCAAGTGATCTATCGTATACCTCCATCATTTCCCAACGGAGTTTGCTCCTGCCTCCTACATACAGCTGAAGCCATAGGAATTCGTGCATATAACCCTAATTTATATGTACAGAAGAAAATCGTAACCCCCCTATCCCTTCCGTGACCAGTTATAACTTAACAAACGACCCTTTATTTTTATTTCTTGTTATCATTAACCTTATTTTCACATCCAATATTTGCTTTTAATTTTTCGCCTCTTTCCATTTGTATTCGTCACTATCTGATTATTTACTCAATTCTTATTACGTAATGGTTTTAATGTTTTGTTTACCTACGTTTGACCTTCTATTTCCAACGTTCAACTATTGATAAGACTTTTGTTATCGAATTTTTTTTGATTGAGATCATGAACCGATTGATGCTAGACCACCATTGAAAACTTGGAAGCACTGGACAGCCGTTTCGTCCTATTGTGGGACTCTTCAGCAATGCGCATCCACGATCACGCTCGCTGGATTCGAACCCATGGCCTTCAGTCTCGCGCGCGAACGCTTAACCTACTGGACTACTCTCAGTACACCTGTCTTTCTACCATCAACTTGTACTTTTACCTATTATGTATGGTGACTTATTCTATTTCATTATGATTATTGACCTAAATTACCTTGATTGGTTTAAGATAATTCGTATAAATATTCATGTATATTAAAGTAAAGCCTGATGACTATCTAATTGAAAACAATATTGTTCGCTTATATGTGTTGTTCTAATTTTCACAATGGGAATCTTTAATGATCATTATATACTAATCAATTAAATATTTATTCTTTGCTTATTAGTCATTAGCTTAAAGATAATTACTTAAAATTTCACTGATCATACATAACTGATAAAGTATAGCAACAATATAGAGTTACCAAGTTATCATTAACCATAACTATTGTGAATATGGTAAACTTTTAACGTTTCATAGTTAAATAAACTAGTGCTTTTATTGATTGAGATCATGAAACGACTGATGTTAGACCACCGTTGGAAACCTGGAAGCACTGGGCGGCTGTTTTGTCATATTGTGGGACTAATATCAGTCGGTTCATGATCTCAATCAAAAAAAAAAAAAGATCTCCACAACCCCATTAATGATAGTGCTATTTTTGTTTATTCGTTTGTTTGTTTATCATGCTTTATTTTATGTCTACATAAGAATCTGATTAATACAGAACCGTTTTTGTATTTAACTAATTCATCGTAAATAAAAAGGGGGGGGATATGACAATTGCTGTAGTTATCAGTATATATACAGATATCCACTCTTTGTGTTCTCTCAAACTCTAATCTTCTGAATTCTTCATGTCCTTTATTTTCTTTCCCAATTTATTCCACTGGACTATACTCCTTTAATAACATCATCAAACCTTAATGTCCCCTATCTCTACTTATACTTTCAGTACCTCTACCACTATGGGATTTGAATCGATAACTGAATCTCTGTGCTAATGTGGTATGGCAACTCGAACTGATGTACGTACGTACGAAGTTCCACGTTGTTACTGACTGACTGACTGACTGATATACAGATACCATGACAAATTCATGAATATTATAGATATTGTTGAATGCTTATCATGATATACCGGTATCGGATAAGTATTTATCCTAAATTTATCATTTGTTTAATTATAATATGGTTTCGACTAAATATTTATATATAAATTCATTTTAATAGATTACCATGATAAGTTTAACTAAAAATTTAACAAGTAAGATGTAAACATTATAAGCAAAGATGGATAGTGACTAACAGTGGAATCTACGATGTGTGTTTCGTCCTATTTGGGAATCGTCAAATGAATGAATCTATATATCAGAGTTGATGTTCACTCTTGGACTCGAACCCGGTACTGTTAGCTTTAAATGCCATCGCGTTATCCACTTACTTACTGAGTTCTAATAGCCACCCGCTTTTGCAATACGGTGAAGTTTAAATTCACCTGATATTGTTTACTTGAATCTTCCCATTGATGTTTAGGACTGTAATTGATCAGTATTTTATTGTCATATGTGTACGCTGTGTGTATTGCCTCAATATTGTTTTAATTCACAAGCATTATAAGCAAAGATGGATAGAGGCTAGAAGTGAACTCAGTAGCTACGTGTAGCGAAACGGTGCTGGGTTTGAGGCCAAAAGTAAGCATCAAATCAGATTCAGGTACATCTAGTTGACGAGTACCAAATAAGATGAAACAGGCGTCCTGTATTCCACTGCTAGCCACTACCCATCTTTGCTTATAATGCTTTGAATTAAGGCTATATTGAGGTAATACGCAGATTCATGTTAACAACACCAAGTGAATTTAAGATAGAGTCCATGTGCACCAATGGTTTAGAATCAGGGTATTTTAACTTCCCTAGCTGGACTGTCTGTGTTCACCAACCCGGTTAAAACGCCTGATTTTCACTTTTTGTTCTTTCAATTTCGAAAACAATGCCCTAGCCACTAGAAGACAGTAAGTAGGACTTCTCGGATAGTGGTTTCATGCACCTAGTTATGTGAAAGGATTTAGACAGGGAGAGCTAACTGTCCCAACGTTCAGTCGTACCATTGCATTTGGAGGTGTTCATCAGTTAGGGATAATAGTTTAAGTCTATAATCCATTTTTGATAACTAGTTCAAATTATTTCATAACCCTGGTTTAGTTTTATATACAAATGACTTTCTATCTTTATAGTATTGTGAATAAAATATTGTCGACAGATTGACAGTTCGTCTTGAAATGTTTTATTTCTTTCGTTTCATTATAACAAAGAAATAAATGAAATGGATTTGCATTAAATTAAGCAGTTGTTGTTTTAATGAAATAAGAGAATGAAACATTCCGATTTCAATAGTTCTAGATTCATTCTACTTCATCATTGTTTGATTTAATGATGTTCAATGATTAACAAATGACAGGATGCATATATGCTAATAGAAGACTGATCAATTATAGTCCTAAATAACAATGAGAAGATAAAAGTAAAGCAATACTAAATAAATTTAAACTTCATTCCATTGCACAATCAGGTGGCTCAGTAATTAATTGGATGACACGATGGCTTTTGAGGCCAACCGAACTGGGTTCGAGTCCCGGAGTACACATCAACTCTGAGATGCATTACATCCAGCTGACGAGTTCAAAATAGGACGAAACGAGTGTCCTTTATTCCATTGTTAGCCACTATCCATCTATACTTAATAATAATAATGATCATTATAATCTACATTATGAAGCAATTAATTTAATTTCAGTTGAATGATAACTAACAAAGGGAACGTAGAGTATAATGGGTTGATTATTAATTTAGCGGTTTAAAAAGTACATTTTACAATAAATAATGTTCATTAGATTTAGACAAGTGAATCACGGAAAATAATTTAGCAGATTAGTTCTATCTGTTTTGTTTAGAAAACTAAGATCATTACGGGGATTTGAAGAGATTGTAGTATATGAACAGTTAAATTCATGAATCTTGGACAACCGGTTTGTATTAGTATGAGACTCCTTATGGACTGATTGAAGTTAGACATTAACATAGTTGAATGCTAGCTCAGTTGTCTAGATATAAAGCGTCCACATGAGAGACTGAAGGTCATTAGTTCGAATCTCACATTCAGGATCGTGAGGAATTCCATACTAAAACGAAATGGCTTTCTAGTGTTACCAAGACATCAATATTAATCTAGCTGAGATTGACTCTCGAATTCAACCACCAAAAAACTAAGATTGTAAACTAAGTAGGTTATCAAAAGAAATTTATAATTACTTCCATTCTAACATTATCCTAAGTTTTTCTCTATTTTATTTCCCAGAGTACAATTCACTATTGTTTAATAGTTTGCATAAATTATCAAGATGTTTAATATATTTTTTGAGATGGTGAAGAGAAGATTTGTAGCTCAGGTGGATGATTTTGATGAAGTTTTGTTCTCTGAGCTGGATAGTTTGATCGTGGAGCTTTCATCGTTCATCGAAGTCTACAGGACAAGCTGTGAATCATATATGGAGATATTTGAATACTTCACTTCTATCTGAAGTTTAAGTTGATGATGTCGTTCAGAAGAACGATGAAAACTCCACGATCAAATCATCTAGCTCATAGAACAAAACTCTATCAAAAACGATTATTACGTGTTTAAATGTTGTTGTTGATTTTTTGTAGACCTTTTTTTGTTATTTAACGGATGAAACTAGCCTAGTGATTTATGTGTATTTTTGATTGAATGCACTGTACTTTCATTAAAAAAAACCCAACAGTTTATCAAGGTATCCATGGTACTTTGTTAAAAAAAGGGCCTATTCAGAAAAAAAAAGCGACTAGTTTATTTCATTATTTTAAGAATAATGTGTAAACTTAACGTTTGGTTTTATTGTAACAACTTCTTATATGTTGAGGTTATTCAAGTAAATTCTATTTACATTAATCTAGGTAATATGATGAATGATGTTGGGGATGCTAGATCCCCAGAATTCAATTGGAGAAGGATCTGATTTTGTAATTTTATTTAGAAAATTTGAATCTCTTTGCTTTCGTGCCAAAAGCGCTCTTATCACCTTCATGTCGTATTTCCCTCTTGCGAAATATCTTAAATGCTATTGGTCCGTTTTATATTTTAGTATTCTATTTGGTAACTCTCCCCAAAGATGGTTTTGTACTGTATATATATACGTTTTGATTTGTGTCTGCTGTTATCGCTCGTTTTTGGCTTTTTAGGGAATATACTTCCCTATTCCAAGCTTGGACTTATTCCTCTAGTTAGCTGGGCTGGAATGCACCGAATAGCTAGCTTATTTGTCTTTGATCACTGAGTCTTTGTTCCGTTCGCAGATTAAGTGAACTCGTAACCCTTTCAAACCTAGCAAATGGCAAGTTTTTATTGACAAGTGATTCTTAAGATAAACATCTAAAATGAAGTGATTTAGTTCACAACTGACTACAAAAGAAACTGTGACATTTAGTTTTTCATAATTTTTTTTATTATTAGCAATTGGAAAGATAATTTTATGATTTTTTTTATCACAAACTGATCTTAATTAAACAACGATTAAGAAACAGGAAGTACCGAGAAATTGTTTCATATGAGTAAACGTTTAAGTAGTCACATTAGATTCATTCATTCAAACACACAAAGAGGCACCAAATATATATGCGACACATAAATCATTCGATTTTTGTGAAGGCTGGAATAATACCCGCGTGCCCAAACAAAAACAAGTGGTTCTTATAGAAGGTCACACCCAGATACTTTGATCTAAATCTGTGATCCAAAAGGAAGTGGAGCAACGTTGAGAGGTGAAGTCCCATAGTAACCGGTCACCAACGATTATTTCATATACCATTTGTTCCATCAGAATACTGGAGTCTATGTTTACCATTGGTTTGTAATTAGGGTTTTCGAACAACCCTTGGTGAACTGTCTATGTCCACCAACTCGGTTAAAGCAGCGGATATTCACTTTTCATCCGCTCAATTCCGTAAGAATACTTCTGCTGAGAGCAGGTATTAAGTAGGACTTCCCTGACAGTAGTCGTTTGAGAGCATTTGGAGAAAGCGAACTGACTCTCCCTACTCTCGGCTGTATCAGGGAATTTGAAGGTAAACGTCAAATAAATAATTTATGACACTTGTAAATAGATACTTTAAATAATAATCGCTTGGAGGTAAAACACGATAACTTTATTTAATCTGTTATTCATATAATAAATATGTTATAATACCAATGTAGCCAGAAAAACATTTATTTATCAGAGAGTTATTGAGGTAGAATTTCGAATGAGGAAAAGGACAGACACATCAAACTGTTAGGCGTCTATTAGAAAGAAACCTAGATTATTGATTTCTGTAGATTATTCAATATCACACGAATTAGACTTTTGTAAAGACCCAATTTGCATTTTATTTATAAATCTCTGTCATTATCTAAAATTTCATAACATAATGATTGTTATCATTCAGTGGAAGTTTAGTAACAAGCGTAAGTAAGTAAGCAATATTTAGTAGTAGTAGTCATCCCCCGATTGAAAGATCACATAGAATGTGATTTAAATTATTCAGATTATGATTAGCAATGATATCTTCATATTGGGAACTTATCAGTTGAAGTCATTCATGTTTCAGTGTCAATCTACGCTAGGAAGGACTTGGTTAGTACTCAGTGATCAATCAATTGTGATTATATCTCAGTCCTACAGAGGGTAGGCCGTAGCCCGGATAGCTCAATGGTAATGTCTCTAACAGTAAAGCTTGGTGATATGGGATGGAATCCATCAGGGAGCATCAGTTCCTTCAAGATTACATGTACACCATGCTGACGAGTGTCAAGTAGTACGAAACTTAGGTCATCAGGGTTTCTTGTTGACAATTTCCAACCATCATCTTAACTCATACCTATTACTTGTCGGTTTAATTGAAAAAAGTATTACTTAAAACATTTCAACTTACCATTTCACCAATAGTTCCTTGTATTTCAGGATTATTCACAGCCAAAATAACATCAAATGGAATAGCCGCCAATAAATCAAGAAAGAACCAACCACGTAAATAATTAATAGCAATCGCTTTTAAATGATATACAACTTGTCCACTTTTACTAACATATGTAGTCCAAAAATTTAATATAATATCTGTTTAAAAGAAAGAGACATATATATATATATATATATATTGTTCCTTTCATTGACTAAATGTTATTACAAATGAAAGGAAGTTTAACAAAATACAAATTGAACTAAAATTGTATCAATAATATGACAAGTAGGGGTTTTTTATTTTATGCCATACTAATCCATATACAATGATTAAATCAATATGGGTATTTGTGGTGATTGTAGTATTGTAACAGTTAACTTGATTAGGGTAATCTAGGTTAGATTATCATAGAAAATCTGGAAGCACTGAACGATCGATGCATGCACGATTCCGCATTTGAGAATCGAGTTCACGAACTTTGGTCTTGAGTACAAATGTTTAACCTTTAGACTATTGAGTTGGCATCTAATGATGTTACATAGTTTTACCGAATAATAAAAATAATCAAACTGATTGAAAAATTTTCTCATTTCCTGATTTGACGAATAAGAATTAAAAATTATCAGTAACAATAGGATAACAGTATTCATCATACGGAAAGGTACAACCAGAAGAAATCTTTCAGTTAAGGAAGAAGCAACCACTTTTTATGATGAAAGTAAAAGAAGGTTACAGCATGATCGCCACTGGCTTCTATTCTGAGCCATATCTGATAACGTCTCTAGCCACTGCGTTACATCGTCTCTCGGACCCTGCCAGGGAGTCGTGAAGGACCAACAGAAGCTGGCCCTTTGCAGCTTTCTTTCATACCATGACACCATGTCATATACTAACCACCTCTCCGCTTTTTCCAACCAGTCCCAGAGTCAGCAAATAATGCACGACGAGGAATTCTCTGGGACGACATTCGCAGAACATATCCAAGCCACCGAAGTCGGTGTTTCAAGATGGTGAAACCAATTGGATTGTCGTCTCTGTGCCCGAAAAAACGATGCCGAACTTCTGCATTACCAACATGGTGTTGCCACTGGATGTCAGCAATCCTTCGGAGACAACAATTATCAAACACAGAGAGTCGTCTAACATCCTCAACTCGGAGAGGCCAGGTTTCACAAAGATAAAGCAAAACTGCTCTCACCGACGCGTTGTAGATCCGACCTTTTACAGCCAGACTAACATCACGAAGGCGCCAAGGATGGCCCAGATTGGCATAAGCCTCTCCGGCTTTCACCATGCGTGCATTGATTTCATTACTCACACCACCACCAGCACTTATGCAGTTACCTAGATACACGAACTTCTTGACTACTTCTATCTGCTCACCATCCAGAGTGAGTACAGGATTAGAATCCTGCCAGTCTTGTAGAAGTACTTTGCACTTTGAAGTTGCAAAGTACATACTGTACCTACGGACATTGATTACCAACTGATTAAGTGCGGATTGCATGGCTTGGGCATTCTCGCACAGTAAGACAATATCATCCGCATACTCACGATCGAGAAGTCTTTCTCCATGCAACAGATAAAATGAAAATGACGATATTTAATACTGTTAAAATATTTAGCCGATGATTGTCTACCAGTATAAAATCTACGTTTATGATATTTGTTGATTATCCTGTGTAAAGAAGTATAATTCCAGTGATATTAAAACAAGAAAGATATGACTCAAATAGCCAATGGACTCAAATTCTAGTCGGATTTCATTTTTCATTTTAATTATTTAATGTAAATAATGTACTCAGTGCATCGTCAGTAAGTTTACAGTCAATATACATAAAAACCTGAGTAAATCATCAAATGACTGATCTGAAAATGAAGACACATTACAAAAATAAAGACATTTTGGAAGTTTCGAAATCGTCTACATACAAGAAAATATGAAACTGGGTGTTTCTGCTTAATATTAAGATGATATTAATAACAAACTGACAATTGAACAACAAGAAACTCTAGCTGTCTGTTTAGCTTCGGTTAGAAACTCTTCGTTAAACGGTAAACATGAATTTAGACAGAATTGAGTATAGGACCTAGAGATCGAGTGTAAATCACAATACTTTCAAGCTACTGGATGTAAATCGACTTATCTGTATTTTTTTTAAACTATACTTACTCAATAATATGCAGTGAATTACTGACAATGTCATTAAAGAATTACTGTCTCGTTCCCAACTTGGTCACATCCTTTATTGAATATTAAAGAAATCTACCTCTGACTCATTAACTAATGGATAAATGATTAAAATTCACTTAAGAGTTTAATGAATGAATGTGATTTGTAAATCCACAACGATGAGAGGTCCTAGATTGGATGAATTATATATCTATCATTCCCAGGATTTCAATTGCTTTCTCCGGTTGATTTTATTCTTTATAAATAAAGACATATTCAATTTACATTTATTTCGTTTACAGTATTGCTAGTATTGTGGTGTGGGTTACTTATATCCACACCAGTAATAAATGACGGTGGTCAGGCATAGAATGTATTTCAGTAGAAGGTTGATGAGGAAAGAACGAGAACGAAACGTAATTGGTATGAAAACGCATGAACAATCAAATCTGAGACAATGGATTGATGTTTGCAACAGGAACAGTCAAGTTTGATATGTGATGGATTGATATTTTGCAAATTAACGATTTACTATACGGTTGTCAGATTTTATTGAGATACTCTGTAATTTGTTATCAAATATATTCGATTGTCCCCATTAGTGTTCTTGTTCACTACAGTATTAGTAATAATAATAATTATATTCTGCTATATATCACTTAACATATTTAGATAATTAAAGCTCAAATATCTCATTGATATTGACTTAACTAGATACATTTTCTGTCTTAGTGACTTATTTATGTTGATATGTTTACAATTCAATTTGTTAGTGTTATTACGGCCGGTTTACCACGTTTACACCTATGGGACGTTAATTTACCTTAAACGATTATCTACACTCGATTCCCTCCCAGTGTCTATTCTACAGGACTTCAACACAACTCAGATTAAGAACAAGTGATTAGCCTGACTAAAACGTAAATATATATTTCCATACCAAAACCCGACACAATCCAACAACCATCAACAATCAATAATGATAAGAATAGGGGAATATATAACTCATCTAACAATTGTCATACTATCAACAAGTCTGACTAAGCAGACAACCAATCATTGTCATTCTTGCCCATACATCAGTTAGTTTCTGAACAAATGGAAATACAGTTTATCTTGTTAACATTTGAACGACCTAGGAATTACAACATACGAAGAGGATCTTGTAGTTAACTGTCATTTAATCATCAATGGAAACGTTTTAACAAAATATTTTGTGTTTAGCTATATGCATACGACTAACAAACTGATTTAGATAAGAGATGAATTCACAAAAACGTGATAAAGATTATGCTTTCACATTCTTCGAATAAGTTTAAAGTTGAATTCTGTGATTGCTTTATTCAGATTATTGAGAAGTCAAAACTATTCGCCATACTTAGTTGATAATACATTCAATCAAAGTGTAGTGGACGCTAATTACATCTAAAAATTTCGACCGAGAGCAAGGTACAGATTGTGACAAAGAAAGAGGGGTATGGCGAGCTTACGATTGTATGAGCTACCTTATAAGCGGTGGTGGGGGTGGTGTTTGCTACATATGCGGACGGATATAATTAGTGTATGGCAGGAATTGAAAGTGGAACGCTTACTATCAGAAGAGTGAAATAGAAAAAAAGAGAAAGGAAAACCGAAAGCAACCAGAACAACAACAGAATTAGGAAAATGATGAAGAAGTTAAAGGACAACTAAAGGAAGATATGCAAATGATATATATATATATATATATATATATGGAAAGCAAGGGCCGCATTCCTACTATTGAGGAACATATGGAACTCAAAACAACTGTCGACCAATATCAAAGTCACAATCTTCAATACGAATCTTAAGATAGCTCTAATTTACGGAGCTGAAACTTCGAGAACTACTACAACCATCACCAAAACGGTACACGTACTTATAAGCAATTGTTGGGATCATGAGTCGATTGAAGCTAGACCACCATAGAAATTTTGGAAGCACTGGACGGACGTTTCGTCCCATTTCGGGTATCCACAATCACGCTTGCGGGATTCGAATACAGAACGTTCAGTCTTGAGCGCAAACGCTTAACCTTCTGGGTCACTGAGCTGGCATCCAATGATGTTAGTGTCTAACATCAATCAAACCACAAAATCGCACCACCATCTTCCATTGTACTGAGATAGATACCTGTCTCAATCCAACACGGAATAACTCCACTGGTCATGGCTTCTTCCTAGAACTCCGAGAATTCCCTCACGAAAATTATTCACTAGTCAACACATGTTAATTATTAGTATAGTGTCGTGAAGACCAGCATTAAAAACCTGGAAGCACTAGTTCAAATCCCACAAGAAGTATCATGGATACACATTATTGAGGAGTCCCACAATAGAATGAAACGATCGTTCAGTTCTTCCAGGTTTACAATCATTGATCTAACATTAATCAGTTCAAGATCCCAATCAATAACTTCATAATCAATTTTTATATAATCAACGATTTACTATTTTGTTGTTTTGTTGTTTAAATTTCAATGAATAATAATTAATCTTTCGTGATGATCATTAATTAAGTTAAAATGAATATACTACTTTTGTAACTGATTTTTAAATTTTCTAAAAAATAAAAATGTTCTCTTTCAATTGGAACAGTTATATTTAATAATCATTCATTTAGATTACGTGATAAATGACAATTATGGTCTACTATATGATTGGAGATTTTCTTTCACACAGTTTATACCTAAGTTTTCCCTCATCTATAGAGATGATGTCTAATTGTTTTTATAAGCTTTATATCTGACTCCAATTTGATCATTACTGATTGTTATTGAGATATATGTATATATATATATATATGTCGCCAATCGTCGTAGTGTAATTATCGACTTGATTTGCATAACTGCATAATGGAATTAAAATAAAAGTTGAATACGAGAATAGATGTTTTGAATGTTTAGATTTTGTATAATTGTTGATTGAAATAAACGAAGTGAAGAAAGTGAAGAGATGAGAG